TCTTTCTGATAAAGGGGAGGAATTTAACACTAATACTCTGCTGAAACAGCAAGCAAGAGGCAGAAATCAACTGCTAACACCCAAGTACAGACAGCATTTATCTTTTATTATGATGCCATGATTCTTGAAACAAATACCACTTCAGGGTCATCATCCCTCATAAAAAGAGACATTCCATTCCAGAATCTCTGTCATCTCATCCTTTGTCAACAGGATACATCTTACTGCTGCACAAAATTCAGTGCTTAGAGGTCAGAGTCAATGTAGAGGATACTCTGAAGATTTGTGGAAGCATATTACTCAGTTGGTAGAACATTTCCTCAGAAATTGTCTGGAAAAAAAAAATTAAAAAAAAATACACCAGTAAGCTTTGGCTATTTGCTGTAGTTAGGAAGAATTTAGTCTCTCTCAAGTTTGTTTCTTGGCATTTAAGAGAACTGCTGTTTTCAGAAGACCATGAAGATCGTATTCGAACTATGTGTTAAAATTCTATTTAATTCAATCAAAAGGAAAAGATTGATCTAAAAATACTGCTTGTATATATATATATATATATATATACGACATATCTGTTTCCACCAGATTTCTTGTTCCAGCAACTGATTATTTCTGCCTCGCTTAAGCAGGGCAGTGCTGTTTGTTATCTACAGGACTCCAGCTCTCTGAATTCCAGAATTAGATTCAACTTCACTACTTAGTTTATTCTTGGCTTCCTCCTTACTGAGCCATTTACTACTTTGTCAATACATGTTATTTCTTTCTTAATACAAGTCTGATTTTTATATTACTCCCCGTGCCACTTTTTAGAACAAATAAAACTTAGTGGTGACCACCTTTGGAAGACTTTCTGAAGATCAGCTAGAACTCCAAATTAAATTATTTCAGAATCTTAGTTACAATTAACTTCAAATACCTAGAGTAATGAATGACTTTGTGGAAGCATGACTGAACTCAGTACATAGTGTTAGACAATATGACTAATAAGCACCTAAACTTCTGTAATGCAAGGTTAGCCTATCTCTTCAGAGTAAATAACAGCAAAAAAGTATCAAAAAGTATCACCACCTGTAAAAGTGAACTTCACAGTTTGAAATTTTAGCATCCTCAGAAGATACTACAGGATGTGCAAAAATATAACCCCCTCTTATTTCTGTTCTATAGGCTCACACAAAAAGAGTAGGGCAAAAAATCAAAAGTAGTTCTGCTGACATTTAACTTCTTGTTCCAACAGTCTACTATGTTAGATATGAACTTGGTTTCACCTACCTGTGGTACCAAGAACTGTACAGTCCGAGAAATTCCTCCATCCCATGAAGCCATTTCCATCATGAAACCTAAAAACCAGCATCCATACTATATGTGTTACCTATGTCAATTACACAGTTATCAAGCAGCGAGGGAGTTTTCACATACAATTAGGATTTTAACTGCCTTAACAAGGGATGTCATTAATCACATTTAAATCGGACTTGGACAATCTCCTGACTGAAATCTGCTAACGAGGATTTATGGAGAAAATCAATATACTCTCGAAGAGCAGAATAACCAAGTCCTACTGTACAGCAGAGCGCTAGCCAGCGGAAGTGAGAGGTTTCTCCAAACATGCGTGTTATGAGTTCTTTCAATGGCTTGCTTTCATTGAGAAATAGCCCTTTCCTTCAGCTCTGATGTGATCACATCCATGCAAATGAGCACAAGCCTGTTGCCAAAAGCACACTGACAATCTGGCAGCAACAGAAACTACCTGGACTTACTTATATGGAAAAAGCTCAGCACTCCTGTACCGCTCAAGTTACAATACAGCATATTTATGCTAGCATTTCCTTACAAGTGAACTACAAGGTCTACAGGAAAACACCATTAGCAAATAAAGATACTCAGAAAAATACTTCTTTAATGGAAGTGGCTATGTGGATGATATTCCATTGTGAATTACTAAAGGTCACGATGGGAAGAGGTTTCTCAAGTAGGTGACAGAAAGAACACTAACACTACTAACACTTCAAATACGCTAAATGACTGGTTCAAGTATTTAAGTGCAACACACAAGAATGCAGTAAATAATACTGCTTGGAGAGACAGAAAAACAAGTTGAGTCACGAGGATTTTCCAGCAAAGAGATGGATTAGCGTATAAACTAGTCTTGTAAAAATGTGGGGAGTCTTCATTGCTTGAGGCAATCAAAATACAAAAGACACTGGAAATTATTCTGCAGGGAAACACCAGCTCTTGCCCTCCTTCAGAGATTGCTCAAAGCAGCAGTAAGGGCTTTTTCTTCCACTGTCTATGTTTAAGTTGTAAAGGTACTTTTGAAATGTTTTTAGTCTCCATTCTAAGTGTCTGAGACTATTTCCTGGTAGGACGTTTAATAATTTTAAAGAGACAATATAAGTGTGTTTTTTAACAAATGATAAATTATTGAAAAACACCTCTTTCGGGGCGGGGAGGGGGGCAGGGCAGGCGGCGGGGCAGGAAATACACAGTCTGAGCTAAGGCTGGATGTCACCAAATGCAACACAAAAAAAACCAGCTGAAGCATTCACTAACATACCTTTGACGCACTTGAACACAAGCTCTGCCCTCTTCAAGCACCATGGAATGGTCATTTCCTAAAAAATAATAAATGAAAAGCCTCAATGCCCAATGGATCTAGCCAACAAAAGTAGGAGGGGAAGTTATTAAAAATAATACATTTTTGCCATAGAACCACATTTTCTCATCAGGTATTCAAGCAGCACTGCAGGCCATGAAGAGGGATTCAGTTTTACAATGTATTCTAGGCAGGTGGTATATACCTTATAGGTAACCATAAAAGCACTGCAACTGCTTATTGGTAGGAGAGCCCAGTGTCAGAACAATCTATAAATCTTTAAGCTAAAATGTTGAATAAAAATTTTGTTGACAATCCTATTAATGTAATTGAAAATGGGTCTACTTAATTCCCCCGTGGAGCTTCAGGAAGAAATGTGTGATATCCGATGGATAATTGTCAGATTTGTGCTTCAGCTAGCCAAAGATAGGCTCCTGACCACATCTTAATAGCAGTAACTGGTGATTCCTAGCTATTTTTAATGATTCTGGTTAAGGCTTATTGGCATACCCACTGCCTTCAGTAAAAACCTTCTCTCTAATAGTGGAACCGGAAGAAGCCCTTCTCCTCTAAAGATGCATTTATGTTAAGAGTTAAAACCAACAAAATTCATCTTCATCTGATGGAGGAGTTTCAGATATAAACAGCAAATTCTTACCTAAAGTCAAATACCAAGATGGGGTATGAAAACCACACTGCTTTAAGATATCTTAAGACATGGATGCAAGCACTGCTCTAAATAATTCAAATAACAGTTTAAATGCTTTAGTATATTCTTTGGCTGTATGCTACAAAGTGAATTATATAAATATGAATATTCCTAGTCAGAGACAGAACGACTGTCACTGTAATTACTCCTCCGAAGGAAAATAGTACCTGTTTGTTCTGATGTACTCTTCAACATCAAAATGAGCACTTTCTAGTCTGAATAGAGGAATATAGACATGGAAACAAATTTATCATTCTATGTACCTTTTCAGATTTATGCTTTACATAACTTTCTATTCAGCAAAGCCAGCCTTTATTTTGCAATGCCAAACACTATGCAATCTGTCATTTTCCAAGAGCTTAATTTCAGGATTTAAAAAAAAGTTATTTGAGAACCAAGGTTATCTAAGAATGCCAACTGGTAACACTGAAACAGGATACTAAACATGACTGCGTTAAACAGCTACTGAAAGCCAAAGTTCCTACTTAGATGGGAGTATCTCCTGCCATCCCCAAAATACGCAATACGCTAAAACCAGCATAAGCTAGAAGTGACTTTTCAGAAAATTTTCTTTCATGACATAAATCACTGCATCAGTAGATGCTGCTTTTAGGGTACAAAACAGATTAGTCGGACAACTTTTTTTTTTTTTTTTTCCATTTCTAAGCTTTCTGGAAGAAATACTTGGTCTTTGTTATAATATATCTGCCTATGTGTGCTTTCTGTCACAAGTAATGTAGGTGTTTATTGTTAGTTTTGATCACTGTTTTGGCTTAGATAAAAAACAAGTGTCTAAAAAGAAAAGTCCTATTGCTTCTGAAGGCAAGTCAGGAGTACCTTGCATAATCAATAAAGGGAACTAAGCCTTAAAAGGACTGATCAAAACAGCAGGATATGACACTGTTCCTTGGACTATTTCAGAGGAACACAGACGTTAAATCTTGTGGGCACTCAGGGAAATAACAGGTTGAATCCAGAATGTCACTGTGCGCAAGCCACAAGAACCGAAAATGATACAGTAGTGATTCAATTCTAATCCATCTTTAAAAATGTAAGTTCTCGTGATTTTGCCATGTTATCAGGATTTTTCTCTATATGCAAACTAAGTAACACTTGTGGAAATGATGAAGGATCAGCTAAGTACCAATTCAAAATACAGTTCACGGGATTGGAAAAAAAGCAAACAGCCCATCTCCTATAGTGAGTTTTGGTTAATAGCATTCAAGCAAGTGAAAAACCACTTGGGGGCTTTTGGTTTTGTTCACTAGCAGAGACCACACACCTCACTCCTTTTTAGGATGCAATGATTTGTTGTCAAATTAAGATTTCTTCTGCTTATTAAAAAAAAAAAAATTGCCAGTTTCACTGGTCAGAAAGATATGCTGCAAACCTTTTTATTCAAACAAATTTGTGACAGACTCACTACATGGGGCTGCCGCTTTTATAAAGCTAAGGGCTTGCGCCTTTGCAAAACAGTGTCATAACCAGCTTATGAAAACACTGGGGTCCATAAATGTCTTGTGGGACAAAGATTTCAAATCAAATTTCAATGATCAATTTTAGTAAGTTAAGAATTAGTAAGACGCTTACTCAAAGTATACCTATGCAAATCCCAAACACTGTATGAACAGCTATGCATTTAAAGGCAGAAAACTCAGACGAGAAATATTTGAAGTTAACACACACATTGACAATCTCTCTACATACATAAACCATGTTCATAAACATTTGTTACACAGCTTATATTCCCTTCATTTCTACCTTTTTTCAAAACATTTTTGTCTTAGCTTATGGTAATAGAGACAAACTGCCTGAGATCCCTGAAGTCACATTTTTCTCAGTGTTGCTGTGTGGACAGCAGCAACAGCGCCTATGTTGAAATTACCAAGGAAGTGTGCCAGCTGCAGCATTTTTAGCGATGCCATGCTATTAGAGCCATTTAATTCCCCAGTTTATATATCAGTTTATATTAGATTCAGAACAGTGATCAGACAGTAACGCCCAAGTTGAATTTGAAACTGTCTGCTTTTGTCTTTCTCAAGCATCAAATCCAGTTTCTTCCCTTCATTTAACTTAATGACCAGAACAGAGAAATCTCTCTTTGTTGTTCTTGTCATAAGAAAAACTAAGCAAAGCAGAACTCCTAATTTTTTTTTAATAGGGAAAAAAAATTAGCTTTATATGCAGGTCCAATAATAATGAAATGTAATGGCTTCATTGAGATTGATACACTCATTACTGCTGTGAGGTTATAAACACCACTCTTCCATCCATAAAACAAGAAAAACTGGGGAAAAGCACAGAGAAAAACTCACGATGAATGCCTGTCACAGTGAAGCATGCAAACATCTCTGCAGCTGTGCTCCTGGTTAACCACTTTACAAAAATGTTTTTATGTAGGTGGTAAATTCAGATTCAAAACAGGGGCTGCTGAAGGCACCGAGTTCAGGTTAACTTTCAGAAATCTGTTATTATTCACTTTTCCCTCAACAACAAGTTACCTATGTGTGTGTTTCAGATTAGGTCAGACAGCGGCAAAGCACTGTAATAAACAACGCTGCTAATGCAATTCACACAACGCAGTTTTGGCTAAACATACACTTGCCATACAGGTCACTTTCTGCTTACTCTGCAAAGACTGAAAATTTAATATAAAAGGTAAATTGTTTTACCAGGACCTTTTAAGAATCCAGCACTAGACAAGAAGATAATTCTTCAGTTTCACACATCCAAGCAACAACATATTCTTAAAGCACATTGAACACTTGGTCTTGTGCTTTATTTGGGTTTTAAAATACAGTTATGTAAATGAAAGCTAAAACTAACTAGGTTTAAAGAAAAAAGAAAAGAAAAAGAATATTGTGGCATGGCAACTTTATTAAGAAAAAAGGTCAATAAATTTATGAAATACAGTAAGTGTTGAGTCACCCAGGCTGCTGTCCTACAAGTTGATTACTTGCATTTGTGCCCAAAAAAAGGTCTTGATACCAGAGATGAAAAATTTCACAAATAATACCATCTGTTCCTAAAAGCCTACTTTTATGCATGGAAGTACATCCTTTAGAAGCTTCATTATTGGACATTTTTCACTTTTGCATTTTTCACTTTTGCATTGCTTGCACTTTCATAAGAATAGACCCTGATCTTGCAAAAGGGAGCCACTTCTATACTGTGTTCCAATCAAATTCTGTTTAAAAAAAAAAAAGTCACTATTAAAAGTAATCCACTGGTGAGCCTTTATCTTGCTACGAGTCAGGAACTTTCAAAGAAGAAAAGGCAGTACTGAAATTTACAAGTGAAAAATCAAAGGGTTATTAAAAAAAAGCCACAACAGACTAAAATTATCCAAGCAAGGATATCAGTAATGGCAGCATTATCTTATTTTTCTTATTCCTTTAAGTTTACAGACTTTTCACTTCCTAAGGAGGTGAGGCATATGCCTGTACTGCTTGTCTACTGGGTCTCTCCCTGCCTCCCCACCCCTTTTTCTTCTCTGCTAGTATCTTGTGAGCCAGATGTGACAGAAGAAAGAGGTTGTCAATGGTATTAAATTACTGTGCACTGTGAAAAGTTACAGTTGAGTAAGAGACAAGCTCTACACATAGTGTCCCACTGATGAAGAGGATACAAAAGTTCAGTACAATAAGTAAGCACGGTTATATCTACAAAGAGCCTCAGCGATAAGCTGCTTCTTGCCCAGCTGGTATTTGGGGGATTTAAGACAGGAAACAGGGACAGAAATTAAGGATGCAAGTGATCAGGCAGTGAAGGAGACAGTTCAGAGCAAAGGTGAAATTTGGTTGCTGCCGCGTAAGGCTGAGGCGGTGTTTAGGGATACAGAACTCAGCCAAGCTTTGCTAGTTCTGCTGCTCATAAAACCTAGTTTTAAGGTTTTCTAACTAGCAACAATTAAAACTGGGGATCTGGTATCACTATCACATCAGCAACTCCAAAGGTATAGTTTCTAAGCAAGAGCTGTTGCCAGACTTCCAGGCATGTAGTCCCATCTTTCATTAATCCTTGTGCAATGAGCTGGATCAAGGAAGTGAAGTGTCCAAAATGTGAGGTGGGAATAAAAAAACCAAAGTGATTCATCTGGCCGAAATGTTTTTAACTGGTTCAGTTCCTTAATTTGGGTCAACATATAGATATGAGTGCCAGGACAATGATGTAGCAGGAGCCAGTACAATGATGTGGCAGGAGCATCTGAATATGACAAACCGTCCCATTTGGCTTAAACCAGCATGAAACATACCCTTTGCAAAAATCACTTTTGTTGCATCCTAGAAGATAAAACCAAACCAAACCTTTACACTTACTTACTTCTGACATATCATGGACCAATAGGAGAGGAATACTAATGGTAGTAATGTCATGTGTGCAGCAAACTTTGAGAATGTTTCTGAGTCCCATGATTGCAGGATCCCGAGCAGTTATGTTACCGGATCTTACGTTATCATCCACACAGAGGTGAAAAGCAACATGAATTTCAGAAAGATTTGAATGGCGTGTGATGTAGAATTCTCCTACAGAAAAATGTAAACCAAGAAAGCAAGATATCATGGTAGTGATCTGTACCAAAATACAATTGTTAGGCAATGTAAGGATAGGGTCAGTTAAGACAAAAGGCAAATACAAATATACAACAGAGATCAGAACACATACATAAGGAGATTAAAAAAAAGTTAGAAACCAACTATCTAAAATCTCTTGGAATATCATTGTTTTACATTCGTCCTACACTCACTTCCCTGCTTTGATGGGTTTCACTGGCATCATGGACACCTGGTGTAATAAGACATAACAGTCCCAGTACAGGCGGATATGATCTATATATAGCACAAAACAGAAAAACAAACACGGAGGAGCTGTAATACTCAAAATATATAACGTAAGCACCGAGTTGCAGACAGATGTGGGAGGCGGAAATACCAAAAATGGATGGGTTAAAATAAAGGATGCAAAAAGTCTGTGGAAAAAGATAGGCGGTTATGTAACAGCTGAGATATGTACTGGAAGACAAAAGTATCAGTGACCATTAGAATTTAAAATAATTCAGAGTAATGGGAATATTAGTTATGGAGTTGTTTTCAAGTTACCAAGACATCTTGTTGGCAGTATTTTTAGACTTGGTATGCATTTATCAAAGGAAGAGAAAGAGTAAGGGGCAGTGAAATGCAGGTATCTCCACCTTACCTTTCCGCTGGAGATCAAAAGTCTATATTAGAGCCAACAGGAAAGCAGGTATGCAATACCCCTACTGTTTCAGTCAACAGATAAACATCTTCAAACCTGTTTTCACTGATCATTTAAGATACTACCTCTGTACTGGGACAGATGAAGAACGGGTATGTACTCCTTTCTGATGACTGCTAAGGAGGTAGCAATCCCCAGCAAGGACCATCTAAGAGTTATAATACACAAGCCGTTGCAGCAAAATTCACCCGAATTTACCTGTTAAGGATCCAAGCTGATTTATGCTTACACTTACATACTTATATATACACTTATACTAACAAGATCCAAGACAATCATGAAAGTAATTTTAAGAAGCCGACTTATTCAACCGTGGGTTGTACGATTTAATTCCTACCTCCTCCAACTGTGTATTCATCCTCAAATTCCACAGAAACTTTCCTTACTAAAAATCACAATATATACAGAAGATAATTCCTCTTTGAGAGGAATGGATTGTACATTCTCCAAGCTAAAAAATACATTCTAAAATGTTTTACGTATCACAACAGTGGCATTTTATATAATTATTTTCAAAAATAAAATTAGTTGCTAGTATTTAAGCTTCACCTTTTCCCAAGATGCTCAAAGATCTTTTTTTCACCCTCAAATTCTGAAAAGAAATTTTAGGCATAGAGAAGTTCAGTGATTTGCCCCAAGTCACAGGACACAGTGGCAAAGCTGGGAATAGAAACCAGATGTCCTAACACCCAGTTCTCTGCCTTAGCCACAAGAACATCCTTCTCCTCTGATTGAGGTCAACTCGTGTTTAGTTTATAATTTATGTTCTGACTTTAGAGCTAAAAATGTGCATCTATAAAACACAATTTGCTTTAAGAAGAAAGGGAAAATGCAACAGAACTCACCTGGCAAAATATTTGATTGATTTCGTTCAATATTCTTTAATTTATCTTCATTTCCACTACTTTTGTTTTCTGTATATAAATGCATAGCACAAATATTAAACATATTTTCTATTAATTACTTTTTGGCATGAGAGTTTGATGTACTGAGATAATATCTGGCTTGAGTTTTTACCATAAAGTCACCAAAAAGCAGAGGGATGGACAGGAAGTTTTTGCTGTCTTCAGTACACACTGAACTGAATTCTATCTCACATCTTTACCTCTCTTTTTTAATCATCCAAGATTACTTCTTCATTTGGACAAAAGAAAGCACAATTTTCTCTAACATAATACTAAACTTTCCAAATTGCCCCCACAACTAAATAGCACTTTGCTATTGCTTTTTAAATAACGTAACCATTTACAACAAATTTGTTCCTAGTATTACAAGAAAAATTTTAAAGACATTTACAGAAATCAGCATTATAAAAACAGCTTTCAGTATTTTCCTCAGGACGACAGCAATATGCAGGTTCCTAAGAAAACTTGTTTCTCTATGTACTCTTATGAATCTATTCATGTTACTGACGTATGTAAACCACATAAGTAGTTCTCTGCAAGAAAAACAGAGTTTCATGATGTACAAGTACTGCCTTAACACCATGCGGTCAGAAAATTTCACAGCCATTTGTAAATATAACTGCAAAGCAAACCATTCACAAGGATTTGGTCAGCACTAAAAAGCATACACATTTAGTCAATTTATTATTCATTTATAAGGAAGGGAAAAAGTCCTAAGTCCTCTTCTGCAATTTTTAAAGATTTATATTTAAATAGAAACAAAGTGAAGTCAGATAAAGTCTGTGTTGCTACAGGCAGTTTAAACTGCAGAGGAAAGCACAATGGCCCCATACACCTCCCATGCTGTTAGAGTGTGATCAGGACCTAAGGACTTACACTTCTTTTTTTTTTTTTTTTTTGTAAGATATGTCTGTTATGGCAGCAAAGACATCGTGTGAACATGCTGTCTGAAGAGCGAATTTCATGCAGACTCCTTAAAGTTCATCAATAAACAAGAACATTGCATTTTATAGATCAGGTAACTGAAGAAGAGTGAAATTAACGTGCCCATAACCATAAAGATTCAGCTGACCACTATTCTATTTCAAGAAAAGTAATTTTGGTTGTCACTGACCATGATGTCTTTTCGACTTACTGCTACGCTGTGCTCTGGCCTTAAGTACAACCTTCTGGACAATTTCAAGCTGTTCTTGAATTCCAGGAAAATGGAAATCTGTGCATTCTTGGCAAACAGTTGCAAAATCTAGGTAAAAAAAATTAAAATCCACATCGTTTTAAATTCTAAAAAAATTACAGCAGACAAAACATTTTTCTGAAAGAAATTAATTGCTTGGGGAAAAATACACCTTGAGTGCTGTTGCTCTTCAAACAAAACCACCCAGACCAATAAACTCCAAAATAACAGCAATAATATACATGCATTAAATGGAATTAGCAGTGGAATGGCAGTGTTAGGTTAACGGTTGGACCTGATGATCTTAAAGGTCTTTTCCAACCTAAAGGATTCTATGATTCAATTGTGCTTTAAAAATGATGGCTTATTACTAACAGTCCTTTAATCTGTGATACTTTATTAAAACATACACAACAGATACTTCCAAAAGCAACAACAGCATTCCAGTTTGTTCTGAAAAATGAGAACTATTAATGAAATTCATCAATACTGTATCTGGAAAGCTGGAATTACAGTTCTTTCCTTTTAGTTCTCAAAACACAATCTGAAAGCTAAAAAAAAGTGTAAAGAGCTGCAAGTTTCTTTCCCTGATAAGCAAGTATTATGTTAGATTAAGAAATATTACACTGATAATTAAGATTATAACACACAGCCTCTGTGACTGGTATTTTAAGCTCCTTATCCTAATGTCCAGCCATCACTTGAAGCAAGTCAATGGGAGCCAAAACAAGCTATTAGCAGGACGCTGGACTACACTAAGCAATTCCTACTTAATTCCCGTTTTGAGGTACCTGCTCTAATCCTCCTTAAAGGAGGATTGCCTATCTAGAGAGCACTGTATACTCCTGTGAATGGGCTGCGAGAGGAACAGGCAGGGTAGAGAGAAAAATCTTAATGTATTTTGTCTTTTCACATGAAGTCTTCCTCGTAAAATCTATTTTTAAAATCTGTTTTAGGCTTTATTAAAATATGGTGTCCAAACCCAAGGGAAGCAGCAGCTTATATTCCAAAAGACCGTGCCTTCTGCGTGTATCAACACGCAGACATTTTATTTGAAAAATTTCCAAAAGACCGTGCCTTCTGCGTGTATCAACATTAAATAAGGTCACAGACATTTTATTTGAAACAAACGAATGAAAAATCTCTTGTATCTAAATTAAAAATAATTTTAGTTTTTGTTTGTCTGAGTGTGCTACACCTACTCAAAACCTGAGTCACAGCAGCCCTACAAAGTCCTAATACGAGAGACTTGAGCTAGGCAGTGCATAAGGTATATAAAGAAACTATTCATCTAGCTTAGAAAAAAACAGTCTGAATTAAGCGAGCCTGTTGAAAGTTCATATATGAAGTTCAACTTTCTGTTCAAGGCTGTTTTTTAGAGATGTGTCCAAATCCAGTTTCAAAGGTATGTTTTCCTAGTTGCCATTTACACATTGTAAGAAATACAGAAAACATTCCAGTCATGGCTTTCCATCTTGCAAATACCTCACATACATCCTGAATTTTGAGAAAAATGGAACCATTTTTGGATAACAGATTAACCAAAGATGCAACATCAAAATGTTGCAACCGAACTAGCAGAATAGACTAGATGAAGCACATTCTTAAGCTTCCTCAGGATAGAAATAAACAAACAAGGTCAACCAAGCAAGTTGTAGGACTTCGTACAGCTGGAGCCCCTCTCTGCTTAGTGCTTGCCAAGCGTTTGGTGTTGCTCCGAACTGTGTAAAATGCTTGGATGAACAGTGTGCTCACATGAAGCTCATTTACTCCAACTACCTTTGAAAATGTCATAGAGGTTTGAGGGAGCTTGTAGCCCATCACAGAATAAAGGCTATTAGGTTTGCATTTTCCCCAGCTTTAAAATGGAAGCAGAAAATTGTTTCTGCACTTTTGTAACACAGAAATTTAGACTGCACAAGCCACTACCTCTCTATTTAAACAACAGCATCAATGTATTATTTAAAGGTCTTCTATAAAGCAGTTTTATGAACCTTTGAACCCCCTAGCATATTTATGTCTTAAAGAGCCTTTTAGGAAGGAGAATTGGTTCTGGCTAATGCTCTTGCAACAAACGGCTTTAACAGTTTAATAGCAAAGTCTCCTCTCAAAGGTGTTTATTACTGCTCTTCTGCCAGAGCTACCACTCTCACCATAGAGTGGATTTAAAGAAATGTGCCCAAACCTCAGCTGCAGCCTACAGTGGTTCGGGGTCTCAGTACAACCAGACGTTCATCGACGGTTTAAAGTAACATATCCAACTAGGTCAGAGGAGCTGAGATACATTCATTTCTGCAACATTTTTAAAAAGAATGGTGCAGCAGACAGCTGTGGAATGTGCCCTCAGTTAAGTTCACCAAAGTCCCTTCGGAACTCAAAGAAATCAAAATCTATTGAGGATTTTATTTTACAGATTGTGACATAGTCCCTCGTTTTCCCCTCTGCTGTGGCTACAAGATCTAATTGGTGGCTAGAAGATGCAATTTTGTGTTTAACAGTATTACTTAAAAGTCCTTCTCCTATCACCTAAGATTTAGTATAAAACCAAATTTTCTCTATTTGTTATTAATTTAAATATTTAAGCAGTAAAAAAAAAAAAAAAAAAAAAAAAAAAAAAAGAGTCCAAGTATGAAATAACATTGTCAGAATTAAGCTTGGAAACCATAAACAGCATAAACGTAACCACAATTTTTACTGGTACACTTCTCTTTCCTTCTTGCTACAAGCCTGATTCCACACTGTTTTCACAGAGTATCAACCAACAAGGCCTATTTTCTTTTACAGCATGCTAGAATAATGACCAGTAATTGTGGCTTCAAAGAGACATTTCAGGTGTAAATATTTTGGTATTAAATTTCAAGAGGAAGGTGGGAAAGTCAATGTGGTTTAAAGAAAGCCTCAGTGACCAAAATTGGAACAGGAACAATTACATTCTTCATTGGTTAACCTTGACACAAAATACCTTCATCATAGTGCCCAGTTACTCAAAAGACTTAAATGCACGTAAAATGGCTACTAATCAAGCTTTTCAGGACTAGGCAAGTAATATTCCAAACTGTTCATTTTTAATGGAATTCATAGTGCTGCAGATATCTAAAGTACACAGTATTTTTATATATTTACTTATCAATTTAAAATCTTAGCCTATTTAATTTTCATCTTTGCAAATAGGTTTCAGTATGCTAAGCTGACATTGGAGAATTAGAAGCCCCTGCTTGATAATAAACCAGTCTGAGGCAGGGAAATCAACAATGAAGTGTTCACTCTAACACATTCCTTACTCAAACACAAAACCTAAGAAAGAGATGAGAGAGATAACAGCGTATTAGAGCACAACTCTGTCCCCCATCCTTATCCATACCCCTTTTTGCATTTGTTACCTTTTGCAATACCATGTCCAAAACATTAGGGTCTCCAGTAAATTTTAACATTACAGGGAATATTTTTTGTGAGAGAAGACAGCAAGCTTTTAAGTGACATTCATTTTCACTGACATGACACACCCCATTAGAAGACTCACCTCTTTTGATACCGCTATATGAACTGATACGGTTATCAACCAATAAAACCAGGCCACAGAGAGAAGTTGAATAGAGAGACATTGCAGTTTGAAGTCTGTGAAGTTTTACTCCACTTCGATGATTGCGCTTATGTTTACAGAAATCCAGCATATCAGCTCTCAGTAATCTCAAGTTATGCATGGTCTTCAACTGGGCTCCTGTACGGAATATAAATTATTTTAATACATACAGTAAAAGATGAAACTCAGGATTGTTATCAAAATGCAAGGGATCAAAGTGCTCCCCTAAGTTTTGAGAAAAACATCTAAGGGAAATATAATCAATAATACTCAAAGAAAGTTCTTAACCATATATTCAGTTTTACATACATATCAGCAATTTACAAAATAAGAGTGAAAATGCAGTATTTTCATACACTGTCACAAAGCAAGGCTTATCCATACCTGAAATGAATCTTGTGTTCCCTATTATAAGGCTATGGATGAAATACTAATGCAGTCAAAACAGACAGTATAAGAAGTCTCTACTGCATAAACAAAAAGTAAAAATTTTAGAACATCTATTTTTCTCTTAATTTATCGTGGGAATTGAATTTAATACCCACATTTTCTTACCAAACATAAGAAAAGTTAAAATATACTTTTTAAGTGCTATTTGTTTTGATGTTAGTGTGCTTTTCTACACTAGTCACCTGGCTAGAGCGAATAAAAACTTACTTCTAAAATGTTTGTCACTAATTATATTTCAGGTAGCTAGATACTGTTTGATACAGTTTATACCATACTGTACGTCTCTTACATATGTAAAGAACAAATACAAAACAATTACAAATTTTGTATATTATGTACATTGACAGTTAAATACTGTAAATAATACATGGCTTAGATCATACATTATTTATTAGCATCTGTTACTACGTTTGGTTTTGGTGTCAGTTTACTTTACTTACCCAAGTGAATAGTAAAACTTTCTTCTAACAGCCTTTGCTCTTCATAAATTCTTCCATTTCCTTCTACAGATTCTCTCAATTGACTGGGCTGAACCTTAATTTCATCACTAAAATAATAAGAAACATACTTAAAATTTTACTCTGATTTTTCTTCAAGACCAACAATACTTTGTGAAAGCTATACAAAGTTTTTTCAACTAGTCTGTGGAAACCAAGAGACTACACCTATTTGAATGAACTCCACTCATCTGAGGTTTTACTTGTCTGGCATGCAATACTCCAGGTGCATACCAGCAGGAAAAGTAGAGTCCATTGTTAGATTTACATTACCTAGCTAATTTGTAAAGCATCCTGAGATTGAGAAATAAAAATAAATCACAATACCTAGTTATAACATAATAAGAACATAAGAATAAAAAGAAAAAAACCTCAAATTCTTCTCAGCCTATCTATAATAGCCAAAACCTTATTTATGAAGTTACTAGATAAAACATTTCTTTTTTCCCCACACAAAATGGGAGGTTAAAAAAAGCCAAAAGAAATGCCCCATGGTGTTCAAACTAGCAGGAAATATTTCAGATATCAGTTTTAATTTTTTTCCTAAATTCAACTGTCTAGTATATAATAAGTACTGCTTCTGCTACATGAAAGAAGATTAACATCTCTCCAATTTTTTATGCATTAGTGAAAATTTTCTCTTTGTTCTCAAAGTGCCCAATCTTCAAAGGTATTCCAAAGGTGTTTTATAAACTTGCAAGCAATTCCAATTGCAAATGCCTAGTGATGAGGTAGAACTGAGATACACCGTTAATGAATTATATACACACATATAAGCAACTAGATGCATAAAGATATATACACACACACACATGCACATATATATCTTTTATGTCTATACATGTGTGTAACATACACATTTTCATCTCTCTTACTCTTTAAGCTTCCAGGTGCCCTACTACAGACTTCCTGTGCATTATTTTCAAGTGCATTAGGGACCTATAGTTTTCAGGACTCGACACAAGCAAAGAGATCACACTTTCTGCTAGCATATGAGTGCAGTGATTCAAATATTATCACTTCGTATCTGTTATCAGCATCCAAGATTACGAAGCTAAAACATCCTCACTCTCTCTCAGAGGTCCTTGCCTCTGGACCTCTGGCAGTCAATTTCTTCTAGCTTTCAGCTCTAAGCAACTTCACCTTGGTCTTATTTGACAGCAGTAGAAGGCCAGAACATGGGTAGAGGTTCACAGTAGTAAGTATGAACAGCCTTTGTAATTCCACTATCTTTAAAGCCTCATGGAAATAATCAACAAAGCTAACATGAAAATTCTGTGGAAAAATATTTTAGGATTGGGTTTAGAGCTTGAGCAGACTGTTACTACTGCAGTGATGGTTTACCCAGTCACTAGGTTAGAAAGAGGCCAGCTTGCTTGTGAGCTATGCAGTCCTAGGGCATTCGCGGACTACCCGAGAACTGCAAAAGACTTCCAAAATATAAATTCACAGACAACAAAATCCTGAGGAAAGCAGTGAGAAATATAAATATACAGCATCATCTTCCAATATATTTCTGCTCCTTCCTCTCTTCCCCCATGTCCCATACACTCGGCTTCCTTATCCCAGAAGGAAACACTTAAGAGAAAGTATTTCATACATTATGATCCATGCCCATCTCCTTTTACCACTAGCATCCACTTTTTTCAAAGGTGTTGTGTTTCCCATAAATTCCTTACTGCATCCACCTAAATAAACTGTCCTGGTTTTGGTTGGGATAGAGTTAATTTTCCTCCTAGTAGCTGGCATAGTGCTCTGATTTCGATTTAGTACTAGAACAATGTTGATTAACACACTGATGTTTTAGTTGTTGCTAAGGGGTGCTTTCGCTAGCCAAGGACTTTTCAGCTTCCTATGCTCTGCCAGGTGCACAAGAAGCTTGGAGTGAGCACAGCTGACCCCAACTGGCCAAAGGGATTTTCCAGGCCTTATGACATCATGCTCAGCATGTAAGACAGGCTCTTCTACTAATGTGAGGCATGAGAAAGCATCAGGTTTTACTCCTATTTTCTTATTAGTAGCAAAGGTAGTGGTTACTAATGATAAAGAATAAGGATCTCCCCAAGCTACAAATTCCTATTGCCCTTCTCTTTCCTCAATCAGAAAGCTTCTCATTCAACTCTCACTGCAAGTGTGGTGATTTTTTTAGCTGTCCAGTGGTGTATACATAAAACAAAAACAGAAAAAGAAAAAAAGAGGCTTATTAATTCAAAACATGTGATACTGTTATCATTTATTAAGCTACAATTATTCTGCAGAGCATCCTTAAGTGGTAACAGAAAGCCTTGTGAAATAGCATTAAAGATAAACATTGTATATAAAGGCAAAATAGGAGGAAACCCCATTCAGCTCAAGTTGGTATGGAAAGTTTATGACATTACACAATGAAGAAGCTCCTAAAAATATAAATATTTAATTATGATGGTTTATTTGCCTCTGATTAGCTTTGATTATCCTATTCAAATGGCTAATCTGAAATAAAGATGACATAAAAGCAAGTCCTTTCAACTGTTAAAGATGGAAGTAAGCATCACAGAGGAATTGAATACCTGATTGAGCTGTTGTTGGGATTCTTTAAGTCCTGATGAAGCTTTATCACCCATTCCTGATATTCCTGCTTCTGGATAGCAGTAGACTGTTTCAATTCATTGGTCCATTTATTTTCCAAATCCTGACAAGATGACAGTGATATTTTGAGTGTTCTGGGTTTTCTTTTTAAAAGAATTATTTGCATGACATATTCTAGCTCACTGAACTTAGTTTACCTGCTGAGATTCAAAATGCTGAGCCGCTAATGAATTTACATCTTGGTCTGTTAGTGATTTCCCTAGCTCCTGCATCACCTTATCCATTTCAGCTCCTTGTCTGAAAGAGAAGCAGATTTATAACAAGCAATGCTTTCAAAAAACGGGCAGAAGAACACCAATTGTTGTTGATACAGTTACTGATACAATGATCAGCTGTATCAGTCAACTGGTGAATGCTCATCACAAGCAGAAATACAACTGACCACATAGCTGGAAGACGCATCATGCAGACAGTTGTCCATCTGCTCATTTTGGAATTGGAATTCATACATTTAAAGGCTGCCCTCACAGATATTCAAAAGAAGGCACGACAGTATTTCCAGATATTCTAATACAGCACTTCAATATCCTCATAATTAGTTTTGAAATGGATCTACTCAGTCCCTTACTTTCCTCCTGCCCCAATCACAGATGATGCACAGGTAAACACCAGGAAGCAGGCTAAACACAGTTGGTTTTAATAGTCAGATGAGCTTCCAGCTCAAACTACATTCAACAAGGGGACCTGGAGTTAAAGGGCTGCCCTGCTATCATCAGTTCATCCAATACCTCACCCCTCCTTAGTCTTCTTAATCCCTGGCTTCACTGAGTCTTTAACATTTAGCCCGTTCTTCAGCAAGGAATCCATTTACCCTAGCACAGATTTAGCAATGAATATCCACAAAACAAATTGGAGTTGAGGGTCAGGGATTCCAAGTCAGCTCCTGTGTAAACAGAGCAACACCTACGCTCATCTGGGATAGTCTCAGCTGCCACCGACATACGGAGTTTCTTGATTACAACAAATGGATATAATAAATTCCACTGGAGTCAATACACAATTATATCACACTAGGGCTCTACAACATTACTGCTCTTAGGATTAAGTGCTCTTTCTTCTAGACACATATTTGAGAAAAGTCAATAAGGAGCAAAAAGTTTTGCTAACACATTACTGGCAACATTTATCCCCAAATTATCCCCAAATATGTTAAGATTCAGTCTAGAAGAAACTATTATATAAACAGGTATGCATTGTATAACATGAGCTTAAACAAAGACAACTCAAGAGGAATATTGCCACTTAGAATGGTAAACCACACCTACTTAGACTATTCTGGCATCTCACAAGCTTCCCTAGTATTTAGTATCTATACTATATCTATATTTGTGTGCATTCATTTTCCATACCCATTTACTCTCAAAAAGAAAAAGAAAACTCTGCATTGTATGTGTTCCCTCTTGTGGACAAAGCAGCCACCTGCATCTATTCAAGCTTATTTGGAAACTTGGGATCCCAGATAGACTTTCCTAAATTTCAAATTCAACAGTTTCTGATTTAAAGTTGGTTCAGGTTTTCTGCTAATCTTTTCACCCCATAAAACTTCCAATTTTTCATTGAAATTGCATCATAACAAAGGCAAAACATGGTATGCACATATACTTTATTTTCTAGATATCCTAAGCACTTTACATTGCTATACCATTTACAACATGGATAGAACAATGGAAATCAAATCTTATATGACTTTGATGGCCTTAGCTTTTATTATTTTCAGTGACTGAGGAGAATGTAAGATAGCTGACCCTAACAATATAGGCTAAGTATTATATGACTTTAAAGAATGAAACATAAAACTAAAATAGAGCTTACATGAACAAATACAAGGTGACGCACATGGTCCTATGAGTTGTATATACCCAGTGGCATGCAACCCTATTTAATAAGATAGTAAAAAAAAAAAAAAGAAAAAGGAATACCTTTCCCGTAGTTTTTTCAATTCCACATCTCTTTCACTTATTAATTCTGAGATACTAACAAAATAATTATGTTCCAGGTTTAACAGCATTTCAGAAGCTGGAGAATGTATCAGATCATGATAAACATCTGCAAAATCTTCATCCCAGCTGGTTTCTTCAGGTTTTGCGTGCTCTAATGTTGTCTAAAAATTTTAAGAGATTATAAAGTATATGGTACCTTTTAAAACATAAAGGATCCCTCATAATGGTGGGGCAAAACCGACTGGGCATGCACACTGTTGCACAACCTTCAACATCCATGAATTGTCTTTCCGAATTTGAGCTTTCTGTATTCTGTTTTAGCTTTAACATTTTCTTCCTTCCCATATTCTTTCAAAGCAACCAACAGCAGAAACATTGGTGAAGAATTACCAATTTTCAGCCATCAGCAACTTGGAAAGAATAACAATGCCTACAACAATATTTGCAATTGATGAATTTTAGATAGGGCCCAAAACACCAGCTGTGCAAACAAAAATGTTTTGCTAGAAAGGATGACTAACTTCTGATGTCACTAGAATTTGATGAACAACACTGATTTAAGAAAAGCCATTTTTATTGAACAAAGAATGGCCCAAAGATGCTAGTTTTGCAAGCTCCTTTATACTGAAACACTCCTTACATTTGCAGTCATTCCCACCAGATTCAGCTGACGAATTGAGATTGTATCACTGAAGTGTAGGTTAGAAATGTCAAGAAATGATCTAATCCTAACCCTTGTACTCAGGCTAACCTATTCACAGAAACCTCTAGCACAGAAGACTGTAAACTCTTTCAGTGTTTTACCACAGTCCCATGCTTACCCAATACAGATTTGTCCTTCTTAAAGGTTAAGCTAATTGTTGATGTTCATTAAGGCAGATTATTTGCTTCCAATTCTGTTTATAACAGATGTACGTTTGGGAGTTTTTCACAACATTCTTCTATATTCCATGATAAGCAAATTCAATTCCTATTGAATTGCTAACTTTTTCTCAAATGGTGCAAGTTTCTGCTATTCTTTTTAGACTCCTCCAGTTCTTCTGCATTCATCTATTTTGAAGATCACATGCAAAACTGGACACATTGCTTCAGCTCAAGCCTCATCATCTCTAAATAATGTAAAATAGTCACATGAACTCAGAAAATGAGCTGAAAAATTTCTCCCAACTACACACTTTCTCTTTGGAGTCTTCATTGCTATTATTGAGATTTAGGATAGGAGTATCACCTTACTATCTCTTGCTTTGACTCTAACGCACTATAACCCTTATGTCAATTTTTGTTTGAATATCAACAGCTATTTACCTCTCACTTTTCTATCTTTTGACTCTACTAAATTCAGGAAAAACCCAATTGAGAACTTGTAGGATGAAGACTTAATGATCACTTTCAGATAAAAAAAAAAAAAATATAAAAATTCATCAGTAAAACTGAATTTCAGTGTAATTTTGCATCTTCACAGAGGTGATTCTGTCCATACATGCACACACTCTCACAAAGCAAGTCCCGAACATTAACTTTTCAGCCTTAATCTTACCTCTTTATAAGCTTTAGCCCAAGTATCTGCCAGCTGGTTTATGTCTACTTTTCCTGATTTCACTGCTTCCAGAGCCATTTCAGCTTCTCTATCATAATCTTTTATAGTTTCCTCTTCTATGAACTTATTAAGAGATTGCTTCAGGTCTATTATAACAAGAAAAGAACGGCCCATCAACAGACACATCAGTGGAAGTACCAATAATCATCTAGGAAACATAGAAATTAAGTTTTTCTGAAAACCTTTTGCTTCAACACCTTACTTGCTAGTACTGACAGCCATTTTCTTCAATGTTTTGCTGTTTTAAAAACAAATTTAAGACTTTTTTAGTAAATAACCTTCTTTTGACTTCTTAAAGTAGGTTGTAAGACACTTGTGGACATGGATATATGACACTAAGAAATCAATTTTTACCATTTTCTATAAAGCATGGCAGATTGTGCAGAAGCATTAGACGTCCGTGCAAATGACTAATATTTTCCTGCACGGGGAATTTGAGAGGCACGGTAAGCACTAAATGTTGATTTCCAGCATTGAATTTGTACATGTAGTCTCTCTCCCTTGTGCAGGTCTTTCCTTTATTAGGTTTCATCTTGAGTTGATTTCCTGCATTAGAAATGAAAATAGCATGAGTTACATTCTTGTAAGATCATTAAGTAAAAAATCCTAACTAAAAACATGGCTTTGTAAATTATTAACAGCTTCTGGCAAGAAAACTTAAACCCCCAAAGTTTTCATAGATACTCATCTCAATTTTGCCTGCCAAATACATAGGTTAGAACTGAAGCATAAATACCAGCTTCCAGAACACTGAATGCTTCCAAAAGGTAATTGAATGTATCGATATATGAATTTGGGTAATTACTTTTATAAATCACAGTACAAGCCTCCTGACTTCAAGTGGTGTCCCTCAGGGGTCCATACTGGGACCGGTGCTGTTTAATATATTCATCAATGGCATAGACAGCGAGATCAAGTGCACCCTCAGCAAGTTTGCGGATGACACCAAGCTGAGTGGTGCGGTTGACACAGAAAAGCTGGACATGAGCCGGCAATGTGCGCTGGCAGCCCAGAAGGCCAACCGTACTCTGGGCTGCATCAGGAGAAGCGTGGCCAGCAAGTTGAGGGAGGTGATTCTGCCCCTCTGCTCTGCTCTGGTGAGACCTCACCTGGAGCACTGCGTCCAGCTCTGGAGGCCTCAGCACAAGGACATGGAACTGTTGGAGCGGGTCCAGGGGAGGGCTACAAAAATGATCCGAGGGCTGGAGCACCTCTCTTATGAGGACAGGCTGAGAGAGTTGGGGTTGTTCAGCCTGGAGAAGAGAAGGCTGCGGGGAGACCTGATTATGGCCTTTCAATACCTAAAGGGGGCCTATAGGAAAGAGGGGGAAAATCTTTTTAGTAGGGCCAGCTGTGACAGGACAAGAGGTAATGGTTTTAAACTGAAGCAGGGTAGGTTTAGACTAGATATAAGGAGAAATTCTTTACAATGAGTGTGGTGAAGCACTGGAATGGGTTGCCCAGAGGGGTGGTAGATGCCCCATCCCTGGAAACATTCAAGGCCAGGTTGGATGGGGCTCTGAGCAATCTGATCTAGTTAGCAGTGTCCCTGCTCACTGCAGGGGGGCTGGACTAGATGACCTCTAGGGGTCCCTTCCAACCCAAAACATTCTACGATTCTATGACTTAAAGGGAGAACCAGGACGGAAGGAATCCCCACAAACAGCAAGCTTTAATCGAGACACTGTAACTGCTGCCATGCGTGTCTTAAAATCTGAATTTCTTCAGTGCACTGGGGTTTTACTTCCTCCTTTCTGCAGGTGGCAGACTGTGGGGCGGGGGGAGAAGCGGAAGTTTGCCATCATTTTTAGGAAAAGCTTATTTTGTCATTTTGTAACCTGCTTTAGGATAGACTACCGTTATTTCTAAATAATACTGTTAGAAATAAGCCAAAAGAAAAGCAGGAGAACTGTCTGCAGGACAGGAGCACATATCTGTGTCAGTAATTTTTCCCTCCACTAGGGCTCCTTCACTCTTTTTTGAACGTTCACCTGCAAAGCTGGACACATTACTCCAGCTGAAATCTCCCCAGTGCTAAAAACCACGGTCCAAGGAGAAGCAAAGCGGAAAACGAAAGAAAGAAAGTATATTTTCCACAGTAAAATTCATGGGACCAGCTTATAGTGTTTTGGGTTTGGTTTTTCTTGGTGGGTTTATTTTTTTTTTGTGAACAAACCTACATGCTGAAAACGGATTAAACGAATCAGCTACAAATCACGGTAACAACAAAAATCTCTGGGCAACCAAAGCAAACTCGAGGCGGTCTCCCAGCCTGTCACGGAGAAGGATTTAAAGGGCACCACTGAGGAATACAAAACTGACGAGCGTCTTTCTGCTGCCCCGCGACGCGACAAGGTTTAGCGGGGAGGAAGAGGGCGAGGTGAGGGCCGCTGCCTCCGACCCCGGCGCAGTCTGCCCCAGCAGAGAGGGCCAAACCCCCTTTCCAAAACCGGCGCTGGGTGCCCTCAGCTCCACCACAGGCTCTGGGGTGCCGGACCG